ACATTTGGGCGGCGTTATGCAAATCTTCCCACATCGTGACATAGACATGTGGGGGGCGTGTTAGAACGAGCACTTTTAGGTAGGCGTGGTTGACTCTTAACTTTTATAAAGAATATCTCTTTGTATTTAAGATTTTTACAGATCTTCTTTATGCACCAAGAGCTTGTAACACTCCAAAGAGAAAGGAAAAATTGAAATCGCATCATATGACCCCTTTAAGAAAAATAATCTCCACAACGCTTCAGATTCAGCCGTTATAGACTTAAATATAATGAATATCGTTTGGTTCCATTACTCAAAAAAAATCATAATAAAAACTGTGTATTTATTCCCAACCTAGAGATATCTGATATACATGCTTCCGTAAGGTCAGTAATGGTTACACAGCTGTAGACATTTTATACATGTTTTACTCTGACTTGAATATGTGTGGTGGCACAACTGATTTATAAATAAGGAGACAAGGTCAGATCAGATCAGATCAGTGTGACCGTCCTTGGTTCTCCTGATGTATGTTCTGTATTATGAGGGAGAGCTTCTATTAAGATTTTCATGATACAACCAGGACATGTCAACATTGCTGAATGTTAGTTCAAAAAGCACAAGAAAGGCACACTTAGTGGTCTAAAGCAAAAGAGTTGTAAAAATTCTGAAAATCTTTTAGAGCTCATAATTTGTTTAAAAAAATCTAACATATTAAACATTAATGAATAAATCAGTATATGTAAAATTATTTAAAGTGTCGTTTGTGATATTTTTTTTTTTGTCTTTTTTTGTTCATGTAAGCTATAGCTTCTGATCCAAGCAATAATAAAAGGACACATTTAATTTATAATTTGTCTTAAATCTAATTTTGTAAAAAAAAATGCCGGCTCAACATCGTGATGTCTATTAGCCATCGGTGATGGACGATGGCAGCCTCTTATCGGCCCAACCCTACACCGAACGCGTCAACGTGCATTTAAGTGTCACTAATTAAACAAGTATGTGTTTAGCTAATTGTCAGCCTCTTACATGTATGCTTCTCATAATTAGTGAATATGCATATAAACAGCCTTTTAATAAACAGAGTAGAATAATCATGGCTGATAGTAAGACACGCAAACGTAAAAACTGGACGCAAGAACAGCTGTGACTTCTTGACGAGCTGGTTAATGAAAACAAGGACATAATCAAAGGAAAATTTGGAGTTGGGATAACCTTCAAAACCGAAGGTGATACCTTTATAAAAGCTCATTATCGACCCAGCCTCTTCTCGTCGACTAAAGGTTAGTCGACTATTAGGGGGCAGCCCTAATATGCATATTAACAGCCTTTTAATTAACAGAGTAGAATAATAATGGCTGATAGTAAGACATGCAAACGTAAAAGAAAACCAAACTGGACACAAACACAGCTGTTACTTCTTGTCCAACTGGTTAATGAAAACAAGGACATAATCAAAGGAAAATTTGGAGTTGGGATAACCTTCAAAACCGAAGGTGATACCTTTTTATAAAAGCTCATTATCGTCAAATATTTAAAAAATGTTTACGTTCCGAGGCAGATTGCCGAAACAGCCATTTTAGGAATAGTTTGTGGTTTGGTCTTAGTGACTTAGGAGTCCTCTTCACTACTCCTAACGTTTCACAGATTTAGGCGCTAGTTTTAGCGCTAAAATGCTTTGTGAAATACTTTTAGATAAAAAATGTAGGAGTCCTAAATTTAGGACTAACACGCCCATTATTTTTAATATTTTCTCCTAAATCGGCGAGTTACGAGCTACTTTTAGCCTCAAGATGTTTTGTGAATACGGGCCCAGATGTCCGTATACACAAAGGCACAGATCCCTAAACAAGACTATATCTGCAGATGAAACTTTTTTTGTAGAAGCATTTTTAAAATTTGAACTAGCACCTAATGCTAGCACCTCACCTACACCACGTTATGTACGAGAAGCTGCAAAAGACAAAGGTGGAAGTGGAATGTACAAAACATGGTGACATTAATTTTTAAGTAAAGATAATGGGTGATATATTGCATCACCAAAAATTATTGAGGTCATGTATATATATTGCGCGATAGGTCGATATATTGATTATTGCGACAGGCCTAATTCTCAGTTTAAATGCAGCGATCCAAAACAGTGAATCTAATCACCATTCAGAAAAAACTTTGCTTCAAATATGAGCCACACCACTGATGTGATCTAATCGCACTGTTTAAGTGATCTAATCACTAGCACACCCTGAGCACATGTGAGTTAATGTATTCCTCTTATTGGCAAGACATATCGGCATAATTTTTCATATCGGGCCGATGCCGATATTTACATTTAAAGCCATCATCGGCCGATTCCGATATTGGTCCGATAATATTGTGCATCCCTAATTACAACCCAACTATGTTGCGAATGTGTATCCTTAATTATACATATACATATAGTCATATGAACATAACTTTAAGACTTTTGACCAATTTGCTAAAAAGAACGAACTCATTCATTTGCAAAGTTTCTTTGTTTTAAAAGAATTGTGCTTGCAGTTTTGAATTGAATGTGATTGGAGGGTAAGATTATACATTTCTGACTCTGATTTAAGTAGCATGGAAATACAACTGGGCAGATACTTTTATTATAATTGTCATGCAGTATACTATAGAGAATGTGAAGCTACGTCACGCCGCGTTGCAAGCTGGGGCGCCGCCGCCATTTTGAGACAATCACCCTCTGCTAGAAATGCTGAAATTAATACGGATACCTGCTTATCTTTTGTTTTGCTTTTGCCTTTAAGTTAAATTCACATTCTTCATTGGATCGTTTGCAGGGAAGAGAAGCTATTTTATCGCGTCGCATGATATTTAGATTTTTTTTCTCTTAAGATTTGTAGAATTTTGTTTACTTTGATCTGATTACCGTGAAAACAGTTTCGCCCGCTGGACGCTCGCTGCTGCTTCAGCCATTATGGTAGATTATCCAAATAAAGTGTTTGTTCGGCAAGCAGACAGAAGTCGATCCATTTCTTTGTTGGAAACGTTTTAATGACGAAGTATAATTGTTGTCATTGTAAATATAAATTTTTCCATGGCCACGGAGGAGAATCATAGATTGTGGGTCACATTCAGCAGACTGACACAAGCACACTGTATGTTTATATTAGAGATGTACCGATTGATCGGCCAGGGATCGGAAAAGGCCGATTTTCCTCATGATCGGCCCGGATCGGTGATTGGCCGATCAGTCTCACTTCTTTCCGATTCCGATCCGATCCGTTTTGTTACCAGCAGCACAGGCAATAATGTCAGCCGCACATTCTCGCTCTCTTCTCTCCGACGACCCCTTCTCTCTCACACACGTCTCATTCGCTCCGGTTAAATGCTTGTATTGCGCATTATTTTAGTCATTCCCTTAGGTTTCGTGCTTACACCAAAAGCGCGCGCACCAGAACTGATCAATATTAGTGGAGCGCACACAAGCCACACTCAGTCTCAAACAGCTTGTGAGCCACAAATACCAAAATGAGTGGCTAACTGCGCTAAAAGGTTCAAATACATACAAAATTGTCAAAATGCCCGTCTTGGCGAGTATCTAGTTAAACACAGTCAGTTTTGGAACGTTAAATAGTTGAGAAAGAGAACGCATGTTGTGTAACATGGGCTGTTTACACCTGGTCACTTCATGCGTTTTTTTTTCTGAAAAGACCAGGTGTAAATGCCCTCCGAAACGCATTAGAGACAGATATAAATCCGATCGCTCAAACCACTTCAGGGGGTGGTCTGGGCCACATTCCAGACTAAACTCGACAAGTGTAAATGCATCTGGTTGTTGAAACCACATATGTAAATTTTACTCCTCCCAAAATGTTAAAATAATAAACGTGTGAGAGCGTGTTATGCTATATGACATTAGTCAGACTGCGCTAACGCAACACGCATCGCTGCGGGCGAGTAGCTGAGTATCTCTTCAGCAAGCCGACGCGCAAACTGCCGCGAATGAAACTGAAAGTAAGACGCAGACGGTCAACACACAATCATCTTCATTAAAAGTAGTAAGACAAACTTATCTTGCCAGTGCTGATGCCGTGTGCTCTCCTATTGCGGTCTTTGATCTTGAAATGAGCTGATACTTAATAAAATGCAGCGCTTATCGTTTTATTTCGTTGACGTGAACATAAGCGAATATAGCAAAGTATTTAATATAGTTAAATTTAAATATAGCGCGGGAATTGAAGATCGTATTTATATCCGTTTTGCGACGACACATTTATGTGGCCAAGTGTAAATGGAAACGTTTTAACAAATCAGATAGATATCCGATCAGCGAAAACGCATGAAATGACCAGGTGTAAACAGGCCCTAAAGACGCAAGTGTGTGACGTGATAGTATGTCCCAAAGCTTGCCTACTCTTCTAGGGCCCAACCCTAGTGTGTGCGAGGCGCCGGCGCGATCAAACAGCTGACACTAAACACAGTCAGTTTTGGAACGTTAAATAGCTGAGAAAGAGAACGCATGTTGTGTAACAGTATATTGGGTCCGTGGATAAACTCTTAAAGGGACCGCAGTCCAATATTCCTACTGCTGTCTGTCATGTTAATCAAAGAACAAAAGACAAAGAAAATCACTTTCCGCTCTTTACTGAATACGTTGTATAACTTTAATGGTAAGCATTAATCTGTATTTAATTTTTACAATGAAGACTACAGAAATTAAAGTAATCAAATTTAAAATAACACTGGATGTTATTTTACATTTGATTACTTCAATTTCTGTAGTATTTCTTACCTGAATAAAAACTTACTTAACCTGAAAAACTTTCATAGCTCTCTTTATTCTATTGCATTTATTTGTGCTGTTGTTTGCAATTTTTTTTGTGTTCTTATTTTATTACTGACTTTTTACATGTTTTTTATGAAAATAAAACTTAGTGTTGAAGAAAAGTAGATTTTTGTTTGTATATGCTGTCAATTATAGTTCTTAGAAAGAAAATCGGAATCGGCAAAAATCGGTATCGGCAGATCACACTAACAAAAAAAAATCGGAAATCGTAATCGGCCAAAAAATTGCAATCGGTGCATCTCTAGTTTATATTTATTTCAACAAATGACAACTAAAATTAAATCCCTGGAAGCTTGAACAGTTTTGTAGCATTTTTAAATGCTGGTTTAATGTGGTAAGACAGTGATGCTAAAAGACATGCAGATGAGGCCAGAATATTAACACAACTTGTTTAATTGCACATTAAGCATTTTCGTCCCTTTAGAAAATCGTAATGAAGAAAATGCTTATGCATTTAAAGACAGTAATTAAAGTTCATATTTTAGGTTCATCAGTTTTTCTGCAGATATTATGCTTTATTAGTAAGGCGTGTACAGAATGTGGTCTTTTAATATCACTGTCCCGGTACATTAAGCATTCTTTATATTAGAGGAAAACGCTTAACGTGTAAATAAACGTGTTGTGTTCACATTTTGGGCTTAGGTGCGTATCTTTGTCTTTATCACTGTCTTGGTACATTAAGCCACATGAACCGTTACTTGTGTTAAGCATTTTAAAGTCCCTGTTCAAGTACTGCTAATTCACAAGCCGAGTGAGTGTCATACTCGCAAAGGTGATGTTAATTTTAATTGGTGACATTATTAATAGATTTACTATCCAGCGTTTTCTTGTCATCTCCGCGACTTGCTTCCCTTGGGGTTTTTAGGGCGAAAAGGCGAAAAAATACACTGCATTGTCCAGTTTTCTCTCAGAACGATGATCGGAGTTACTTTTGCAATTCTCGATGCAGCATAAATGACAACCAATGGTGACATTTTCCACAGTCACGACAGAAAATCAAAATACTGCCCTGAACTCAATAGCGGAGAAGCAGCGCGATCCTCACAGTATGGCGGATAAACAAAGCAGTTTCCCAGAACTCAACGTGGCGTGACGTCAGCTTCACATTCTCTATTGTGATGCATCTTGAGAGTCTATAAAGACTGAAATATACTTTGATATCCATTTCATTATAAAAAACAGGGATGTGATTTTTCCGTATAAATACGGATTTCCGTATTTTCCGACCATCTGCAGGACAGTTAAAAGCACCAAACGCGAGTAGAATCGGCGTTGAAACGTGTTACTTGACCCGGTGACTTTTTATGAATGGCGGTGAGAATTTGAGATTGCTCAGTGCTCTCATATTATTCCCAACGGTTTTGATGTAATTATATAATAGGCTGTAGTCTGACACGCTACATGTCTGCTGTTTTTAGTTTCGATATAGTGCTAGCTGCGCTGCGTTTGGTTTGAGCCGATTTAATTTGCGTTTGGGAACGCAACATTCATCATTAGAAACGTTTATAAATCTGTTGTTGTTTAGAAAGAGAAGTTTCAGTGTCACATAATCCTTCAGAAATCATTCTAATATGCTGATTTGCTGCTCAAGAAACATTTCTCATTATTATCAATGTTCAAAACAGTTTTGCTGCTTAATATTTTTGTGGAAACAATGATACCACTCAAACATTTGTATAAGATTTAAAAAGAGAGAGAAATTAATAATTTTATTCATCATGCATGAAAGTGATAAAAAGTGAGTGAAGACATTTAAAATTATTTCTATTTAATAAATGCATTAACAAATTTAATTAATATTTGATAAATGCAAATAAATGCTGTTCATGAAACTTAATATTTATCAAAAAATCTTGAAAAATAGTGTATCACCATTTTCACACAAAATATGAAGCAGCAAAATTGTTTTCAACATTTATAAGAAATGTTTCATGAGTCAAATAAATTGTAATGATTTCTGAAAGATCATGTGACACTGAAAACTGGAGTAATGATGCAGAAAATTCTGCTTCGCATCACAAGAATAACATTACATTTTATAATGTATTAAAATAGAAAACTTTTTTTTTTGACGTGATTGGTTATTGGTTTGTGACGTAGCAAACCAAGGGCTGTTTCAAACCATATTTCTGGGTCAACCTTTGGGAAACTACAGTTTTAAGGAGAAAATACACCGCAATGGTGTTGATTAATAGATTGGCACATGGTTTGTCTAAAAGTATATTAAAAACACCACATAGACAAATAAACAACATAAAAAACTTGATAATTGTAATGTTTCCAAACTTTTGGCAGGTACTTTAATAATAATAACAATTCTATAATCTTTGCTATAATATATTATATTACTTTTTTTATAATATATTATATTATATTGTTATGATTATTAAATGCTGTTTTTTAATTTTTTACAGGACAATAGTATGTATTATTACAATATAAGATATATCTTTTAATGTGCTAAAATATATATATATTTAATAAGTGCTGGGGGCGTGGCTTGGGGCGTGGTCAGATTTTCCTTCTTTTTTGTCTCTAGCTGATCACAAGCCTGAAAAAAGTTATAAGTACGTAATCTAATGAATAAATATTAAACCATTTAACATTATTAAAAATACATGTAAGTGGCTGATAGAATCTTTGTCATAGAGTACACTTTTGTTTGTTTATGTAGAATTCACAGTTTAAATGTTCTTGTTTCTTTTAATTTATTTTCAAGATCTAAAGTAAAATATTGTTGCTTTTTAGTATGTCACAGAAAATATTAAAACTCACATTAAACCCTTTTAACATTAAAAAAAGCATATAATCAGTACCTGAGATTATCATAGTTTGTAGGTTCTTAGAAATAGAAGCTGTTTCTAAAAAAGAATCCCCTGCACTCATCGCATATGTCACAGCTGGTTAGGAAAAACACACTGATTAACTCGATTTTTTGATTAATCGTTTTTTTTAAAATTACGTCGATTCGATTCTCAAAAGCCGCGAATCGATCTTTTCCGGTATTTATTTCAGCACACATTTAAAACAAGATCTGATTAACGTGAATCTTATCATTAGTCTTCTCCACTAGATGTCACCCTTATTTACCTTGCGCGATGTTACAACAGAAAACCTGTCATTCATTCAGCGCTTATCATGGCCATACGCGTGATTTGCAATGCTCAGGTGAAATGCTATAGTAATACTATAAATCTGCGGAAGCATTTGATATCACGCAAAAGGCGCAATGATTTCCGCAATGAATAAATGGCGGGTGGCTCGGCGCACTGTTTTGTTTACTACACACATACTAAAGTGCGGATGATGCTCGCAGTGTTTTCAGCTTCTGCAGTCTCACAATATGATGATATGAACACGAATGTCATCTCCAGCTGCTCTGAGAGTCACTTCATTAGCATTTTACCGTTTCATTTGAGAAAACTACCGTCATATCACATACACAGCAGCTGCAAGTTCTTCACGGCAACCCGTCAAAATAAAAGTTTAGTTTAACGTTAAGAAACTGTCAAAATATTACCATTTAGCAGTCTTAAGACTCGATGCTACTACTGCTAATAAATATTAATACATTTTTATTTTTAAAGGAATAATCACATTTGTTTTCTTTTTAATTTTAACAGTAAACATCTGTTGTGCAGCACTGTGTTTGCCAAAAAATAAAAGGGTTTAATTTTCATTTGATTAGGATAAATTAAATTAATGTTTTATGCCTTCATCTGATTACCAGAAAAATTAAGAACATTTTATAGGGCCCTATTATTGTTTAAAAAGAATAGGTTTAAAAAATAGGCATGTGGTTCTTAATTTCTTTTTATTAATTCACTATTTGTAAACTGATGTTTACTGTTAATTTTTTAGAAATATCAATAGCATTTGTATTAAAACTATATTCACTGAATGTAATGAAAAAAATCGAGAATCGAATCGAATCGAGAGCTTGCGAATCGAAATCGAATCGAATCAGGACATCTGAATCGATACCCAGCCCTAGCATGTTTCATTGAATTTTCCCATGTGTTCCGCTTACGCGCTGCTTCCTGTCTCAGCGTGTCTGTACTGTATCCCCCCAATCTCAATCTATCCCACCAACCACAGCACAGGATTTATGAAAGTCAGCTTCAGGATGTTGATACAGGTACCTGCGCCACCCCTATTTCTCCCTCTCTTACATACATCCAGACACTCTTTAACCTCTTTCTACCATTTGATTTCTATCAATTCATCTAGTTTTGTCTCACGTGTCTTTACTGTAGAGAGACGAGCCTTTGCAAACAAGATACATGACGATGAAATGCAGTACCTTCCAAACTTTTTTTTTTAATTAAAATTTTTATTCAGTAAGAATACATTAAATTAATCAAAACGCGTGATTTGCAATGCTCAGGTGAAATGCTATAGTAATACTATAAATCTGCGGAAGCATTTGATATCACGCAAAAGGCGCAATGATTTCCGCAATGAATAAATGGCGGGTGGCTCGGCGCACTGTTTTGTTTACTACACACATACTAAAGTGCGGATGATGCTCGCAGTGTTTTCAGCTTCTGCAAGCACCTGCAAGTTCTTCACGGCAACCCGTCAAAATAAAAGTTTAGTTTAACGTTAAGAAACTGTCAAAATATTACCATTTAGCAGTCTTAAGACTCGATGCTACTACTGCTAATAAATATTAATACAAATAGCATTTGTATTAAAACTATATTCACTGAATGTAATCAAAAAAATCGAGAATCGAATCGAATTGAGAGCTTGCGAATCGAAATCGAATCGAATCGGGACATCTGAATCGATACCCAGCCCTAGTGTCTAGGACATGGTGTAAGAAGTTGTTCAGAAACTTTCCAGTCTTCCTGTTTTTTCCCCTGCCTTATAACTGCCATGGTTTTCTGCCATTAAAGTCACCAGGAAATGACTGCCGAACTCCATTTCTCTCATCTATGCTTTTACTCTTTCTCTTTGAGTCATTTTTTTTGGTTAGGTCTGTCTCGAAACTGGACTCCTGCAGCTGCACTTGTGCGTGCATGATGTTACAGTTTCTCAAGTGAAACTCTCAGTTCTGTTTCCATCTAAAAAAAAAAAGCAAAAAACACCCTGAAGTGTAAACACAGCCCTCCAGCAGTGTGTGTGTCTGGCTCGTGTGGGTTTTAGTTAAGAAAAGAAATGCACTTTAAAAATGGCTCCGCAAAGCAGACAGGACGCCCATCGACTTATCACAGAAAACAAGAAACAATCCGATATCTGGCTAAGGCAGCCAGGATCATTGAGAGGGAAAAGTCAATCAATCAGTGCTGAGTTAATGGGATCACGGTATCTGGACACCTCACTCTCCACATCGTTAAAACAACAATTACGATATTATCGCAGACGATATATATCGCACACCCCTACTCTCACCTCATGACAAAAAAGATTGTAACTGCTGCAAACAAGTGATGTGGGGAGGGTGTAGTATGTTCTGCTGTGAAATCTCTATGAAAGAGGTATCATAGATTGTATAGGAGAACATCAGTGTAGTGGATGAGCTCAGTTGGAGCCGTGGCCTAGTGGTTAGCACTCTGACACACGGGGCTGTGGTGCAAGTTTGAGTGCATCATTTCCTGATTGCTTCCCCCTCTCTTTCCCATTGTTCCCTGTCCCATTTCTGCCAATAAAAGCAGCAAAAGGCCAGAAACAAAAATAGATTTCACCCTGAAATGAACATTTTTACTCGCCCTTATTTTATTCTAAACTTGTATGACTGAATTTTTTTCTGACACACAAAATATATTAGAATACAGTGTTTTTATTTTGTGAATACAATGAAAGTCAGTAGAGTCCAATATTGCTTTGAAAAAGACACTAAAGAAATAAACTTTGAAAGTTTATTTTCAAACTCAGCAGACTGCCTAGCCAATCTCTATCCACAGTGATTCTCACATTGTGACCATTCACCTGATATTTTGTTGTAGTTTGTGGGTGCACCTGTTATGGATTTCAGGTAACACTTTGCTTGAGACGCGGTTTAGGGTCTCTACTGCTTAAAACTATTCCTACAGCGCACACACAGAGAACATGGTCTCTGCTAATCAGGCTG